GTGTAAGAGTCCCGATCTCTCCATATCCCTGCCAGCATTTGTTATTTTCTGTCTCATTGAACTTTGCCATCAGTGCTGGGGTGAGATGGTATCTTGTTGTTTTGATTTGTATCTCTCTGATGGCCAGTGATCATGAGCGTCTTTCATATATTTGCTGGCTGCCTGAATATCCTCCTTGGTGAAGTGTTTATTCATGTCTTCTGCCCATTTTTCAACAGGGTTGTTAATCCCTTTGTTGAGGTTTTGGAGTTTTCTATAAATCTTAGTGATAAGTCCCTTGCCAGATAAGTAATTATCAACAAGTATGACTTTGTTGCTGTCATTTTGTTATGTGCTTTGTCACAGTGTTGATTTCTTTGTTCCATATAATTTTCTGTGCTGAGCTCATTTTGTTTAGGAATAGCGCTATCACTTCCTTTGTTGCTACTGTTTCAGTAATTTGCTAAATATATGTGCTGGTCCTCTTTTTTATTTGATGTGAAGGTTTATTATTTTTCTTTGAGGTTACCCTGTGATTTACAGTTTTCTTCCCAAGTTTAGAATAATCTGTTCAATCTTGTAGTTGTTTTGACTTCCCTACCATTTAGAAGTTCTGTAACTACACAATTTGTTCCTCTTTTTGGTTTGTAGTTGTCTTCATTTGTCAACTGATGTCTCCAGTTCCCTGTTTACAATCTTGTAGGCTTATTTACTTTGGATACTTCTATAACTGGGTTGGTTTCTAGGTTATGTCATCATGTGTGGTAATGGTCAGTTATTGTTTGCTGTTGTTGGTTCTCTGTCCAAAAGACTCCCTTTAGCATCTCTTGTAAGGTTGGTCTGATTTTAACAATTGCCCTTAATTTCAGCTTATCTGGAAATGTCCTAATTTCACCATCATATTTGAGGGACAATTTAGCTAGGTATATAATTCTTGGTTGGAAACTTTTCCTCTTTCAGGGCTTTATATATACCATCCCATTGTCTTCTCGTCTGCATGGTTTCTGCTGAGAAATCTGAGCTTAGTCTTACTGGTTGCCCCTTGTGGGTAACTTTTCATTTTTCCCATGCTGCTTTCAGGATTCTTTCTTTGTCTTTGGTTTTGGTGAGTTTGATGATGATATATATGTCTTGGTGATTTTCTTTTGAGGTCTGTCCTGTTTGGGGTTTGTTGGATTTCTTAAATGGATATATTCTCATCTTTTATCATACCAGGAAAATTTTCTTCCAACAAATCTTCAACAATTTTTCCTGTGGTTTTG